GCAGAAAAAATCTCTCTTGCTCTGGGACAACCTGAACAGCAGGGCCCCACGTTGTCGGAGGGCATTCAGGGGACGGCTGTCATGCTCACTCAACTTACCATTTTTCCCAGGGGTGAGGTGTTGGTCACAGTGGGCAACAGGCCCCTGAGCTCACCTGTCTTTAACAGGACCCTGTTCAGCTGCTGCTTTCTCCCTGCGGAGTCACAAAGAGCAGGCAACTTGCGGCAGCTTCACGTTCTAACAAGGAGTTGGTAAAGCGACTGCTTCCCCCCACTTCCCTCAGAGCAAGCTTTCTGGATGTACAAATAGGAATTGGCAGTGGCGGAGAAGACCTTACGGATCTTACACTATCATACAGAACCAGGTGGCACTGGGACGGTATGCTATTTTCCAGCTTTCCGTTCTCCCTGAGACAGGTTAAAGGAATGCTGCGTATCTGATGACTACACCTATGTTTGGACACCTTTCCTCAAAGTATTTTAAAATCATGGAGAGGGTTAAATGCAATTGGTTAGGTACAAGCACTGCATATCTGTGGCTGAAAGGAAAAGGCTTCCTTCATTTGACTATTTTTTCTCCTTCATAAAAGTTCCTGCCTGCTCCCTACCAGTACTCCCTGCCCGAATGCTTCTTGCTCTCCAGAGGCTCTGGTTCATGATTTTCACATTTGCAGTCATTCGGTCTCTCCGCAGGCATGTGTTGTTTCCTCTTATAAGAGTCAAATTAAGGCAGCACAATGTGTGGGAGTTGGCTCGTGTGCAGGTCTTTATGGTACTGAAACCACTGACATACTGTACCACTGGATTGCCAGTTATGCATATGAACATAGCGATGAAGAAGTTGGTCTGTTTTGTTTTGGTTTGTTTTTCTTCTTTTTTCTAACTGTAAATGAATTGAAGCACTTTGGCAATGAGTGTAAATGATGCCAAGTTTTGGTTTTCTTCTTTTTTCTAACCGTAAATGAATTGAAGCACTTTGGCGATGAATGTAAATGATGCCAAGTTTCAAGCAAAGCTTTGGAAAAGTACCCAGCATTTTGTCAATATCCTAAAACATCACACCACAGCAAGGCAGAATAACGTTGACTTCCGACAATACATGTGCACTAAAAATGGTAATTTTCCTCTACCCTGAAGTGATCTAAGGATATCACTTTCATATTTTACCATGCATTAAAAACCTTCTTCATCCCTGAGAACGCAACAGGCCCTTAACTCAAGACTGAGATTTCACATGGCAAGCGAAAGATTTCTCTACACATCATCCATTAACTTAGAATTTTGCTTTGAATGTTCATTCTCATGACAAAGAAAGGGAAAGTCAAAGTTTTAAAAGAAAACGCTGGGTTTTCCTATAGAACTTCCTTGGTCTGTGCATTTTCTGGCCCCTGAGAAAACTGATGGGATTCTTCCCAACCAAACTCCAAAGTGAAAAAGGATGTACAGTTTATTGTAGTTTGTCGACAGACATTTTCTCCTAAACAGGCCTTTGTGCAACCTCAGCTTCCCTGGGAATTCCTAACAAAGTTTTGATGCAATATTACTTACACGCGTGTTCAGAAACAACTGGAGTTTCCCAGGACTCTCCCTCCAGTTCTTTGATTGCTCATTTTGTTGGCCACTAAGAGTCACAACTCCACGCATCTCAGCATCCTTAAAGCCTCAGCTCCCAAGGCAGAGCCCCATCCCACATCCAGGGAAAAGCAAGGAAACAGTCAATGATCAAATTAAGTAATGATTTCACTTGCTGAGTAAATGAATGTCTGAGTTTTGTGCTGCATGAGAAATACATCCAACACACACACACACAGAGCTTTAAAAGACAGTTTGTCTCTCAGCATTTCCTATGAAAGTCTAATTCCCGGTAACATCCATTTACTTTCCCTGCTCAGATTTAAAGCTGTCTTGTGACCTAAAAGAGGAAGGTAAGGTAAGAACCAATGCAGAGGCAACACTCTTCAGCCCAAGCTAAAAAAGCTGAACTAGTTCCCCTGCATGTTATTTTGCTTTGTCTTGCCTGACTGGACACCAACTGTGACAAAATAAATTCTTCTATCATGTTTTTGCTTGGCTAAATCAAGCCAACTCAAGAACAAATTTATTAAAAGGGAAAAACCATGGGAATGATAGAAAGGAGGAAAATCTCCTTTCCGTTATCTGGGTAACTTGCAGTGCTTTATGTGTGAATGAACAAATCTTCTTTCAAGCTTGACAAGCTGCCAGCAATTTGGATTTGTTCTCATAATATACCTAAAAGAAAACTTCTTATTTCTGCTTCTAATTCATCTCTTCGGCCACAGACACGTATATGTGTAGTTTAATTCACAAGTTAGTATTCAATAAGTTTAGAAGAGCCATTTGCTGTGATTTGGAAGGCCTTAAACAAAACCTCAGGAATAGCTTCAAGACAAACAGGAAGTTATGTCCCTGCTAGCACTGCTGAGACAGATGAACAGCTCACATAATAGCGTAGAATATCTGAACTTTAAAAAGTTTCACTTTCTGCCAAGCTTCTGCACAACACTCGGTAGTGAGGATCCCAGTTAAAAGACCCAATACGGTAATGGTCCATAAAACAGAAGACAGCACAATACTGAAGGACCTCTTCAAGCTGGGCCAAGTATTAAAGTAGGTCTCGAAGGGGACTAGAACTGAAGCCCCTGTTGTTTTCTTCTGTGCAGATCACCTCCATGGAGTGTTGATGGAGAAAGTGAAATGCTGAGCCTTAAGCCAGTTTCAAACAGATTTAATAAGGATTTGGAATTGCTCTGCAAATGGCCTGACAGATGGTGAAAAAAGTTTAATGTTGACAAATGGACAGTAATACACAGCAGGTTCTAAAAACCCCAGACGTGCTGGGGTACACATGAATGAAACAGGATTCATTCTCAAGGCCTTAACAGTTGACTTCTTGTTAGCAAGCAAACCATGTATAATTATAAAGCTGCATAACCAAGCTGGTGTGAGGTGTTTAACAGCTCAAACTAAGAAGTCTGGAATACCAGCACACAAAGCTTCACTGCAGCAGCTTGTCATGAACAGAGCTCTCACATGCTTGGAATAGTTTGTTTAATCTGACATGCTGCAATCAATGCACCCAAGAAGAGACTCTTCTTGTGATCTCTCCTGTTGTGCAACCGCATAGCAAGAGCAGCCGCTCACGCTCTCTAGTGTAACAGGGCGAGGAAGGACTTTGCAGCTCTGTTGCTGCAACTCAGGCCAAGGTGCTGCAGAGGACTTTCACGTATAACTTCAACATAACTTCCAGGAGGATCTGTTCCATGATCTTACCAGGCACTGAGGTGAGGCTGAGTGCTCAGCAGTTCCCAGGGGCCTCCTTATTACCTCGTTTGAAAATGTGTGCAGTTTCCCTTTTTCCAGTCACCGGGGTCTTTGCCTGACTGCCGTGACATTTCAGAGGCTGGCGTGGAAATGACATCTGCCTGTTCGCTCAGGACCACGGGAGGCCTATTCCAGGGTCCCATGGACTTGTGCATACTCTATTCAATCCAGTCTACCGCTTCCTTCACGACACTCATCCCAACTTTCCAGCAATTCCGCTTGTGTTGTAGTTTTCTGAGGATGCCAGAAGACACATTTTGGAATTTGCTCCCTTTTGTGAGGTTGGTCTGAGCTCCAAAGAACATGCAGGCTGAATACTGCTAACACTGCAGTAGCAGCAGAGCACTTATACTGCTCAGTGCTCAGTACAAGGGTTCAGAGCGGCTGTTGCCAAGGCCTGAGCAAACAGTGGACAAATTGGGAGGCAAGAGTCACCTCATGTTCCAGACATGTCCGGCTTAGTTGCACATACTGCTCCTAGTGCTCTTTTACCCTTTCAAATCATGGTTTTCTCCTGTGTGCAGTGCTTTACCTGGCAAAAAAAGGGCTTTTTCAAAAGTTATGCTCCTTCCTAAATGAATAAACATTCTGCAAAGGTCATTGGACAGTTCTTGACGGTCAGCCAAGGGCTCATCTAAGGAGTGTAGCCCTTCAAGGAGCATCAGGCCCAACAGTTAGCCAAGGGCTCATCTAAGGAGTGTAGCCTTTCAAGGAGCATCAGGCCCACCATTTTCTTTTGGCAGTGTGAATCTGCTCTAAGAGTGATGTGACCAGCCACGGAGCTCTGGTCATCCATGAAAAGTGGTGTTTAGATGCAGAGAAGCTGTGCTCTGAAGACCTTGAGGCCCATGTCCTGGAAGGGACACCGCGCTCCTGGTCGCATGGCCTGTGGTGACCGGCTGGCAGGACCAGTCCTCTGGCCATTTGCCCAGAGACCCCTCCGAGCAGGGGGCTGCGGGGCCCCTCCCGTGCCCGTGGCCGCAGAGAAAGGCAAGGCAGGCAGCAGCACGGCCACGCTGGCTGGGCCCAGGCACCAGCAGCCTTAATTTGGCACGTTCCCCTTGGAAAGGCGCTCCTCGCCCCTGCCACCCGTTGATACAGGGCCTAGATAGGAACAGGGGATGTAAGGGTTAATATGGGAATAGCAAGAAGGGGATGACGAGGGAAATAGTCGAGATAAGAGTTTGCTTAGCTTGTGCGAGACAGATATTGCTGTGTTTGTGTTGCTCGACCACTATCTCCTGTTTAAGTACAAAGCCTCCTCCACCCCTGAGTAAGTGGGTGTCAGTAGAAGATTACCCCACAACCGGCACAAACCTGCTCTGCGGGTCCAGGGGTTGACAGAGACTGCGCAGGAATTCGGGGTGAAAAGTTCAGCACTGAGGAAGAGGAGATACTTCCTCCCACGACCACCGCCCAGTCCTTCACGACCCCTGCCCAGGACCAAAGGAACTCACTGCGCAGACTCAACTGGGAGGAGATCATGGAAATGCTAATTTTAATACGAAGCGGGGATAGGTGATGCATATGTATAGGCGTATTGCGAAATATTATGAATATGTAATCATTTGCTCTATAAATCTAAGGCAACGGTGCCACATGGCAGCACACACATTAGGAGGAGCGATCCCCTGTGTGCCCAGCGCTGAATAAACTTACCTACTTTACAATCTATCAGATTGTGGAATCTGTTTTCCACACGTCACCGTTGCTGGCAGCTCTCCGGCTGGAAAGGGTGGGCGCCGTGACAGCTCTTCGGGGCTGCTCGCAGCTCCTTGGCATGGCGGGCAGTCCCTGGGCCCTCCCGCGGCGCTCCAGCAGCCTCGTCTTCTCCCCCTTGCTAAAGGACACAGCAGAAAAGGGCCTCAGCTCTGTGGCCGGGGAGAAGGGCCCCCAGCGCCCCAGCGCCCCAGCGCCGGGCTCAGGCCCGTAGCTCTCAGAGGAGCGGCCGAGCCCAGCCCGCTGCTCCGGGTGGCGTCTCGTGGGCCCTCGTGCCCCAACCAGTCTGCAGCGAGAAGAGCGCAGAGCAGCCGGGGGTGAAGCCGGGCAGGGCCGAGACCCGGGACAGGGCGGGCGCGGCAGCTGAGGGCTGGCTGCCTGCGAGTCACTGCGCGGCGAGGGCAAGCACGGGCTGCCGCCGTTGGGAAGGCAGAGCCCAGCCAGCCGAGCCAGCCTTTCGTGGCCAGCCCGGCCACCTCCAGCGCTGGGACCTGCCCAAGGCTTTCCTCGGCCTCTGCAGGACCTGTCAGATTATCGTCCCTCTGAGTTACATACAAACTTGGGGTAGTATTTATCTGGATGTGTATGTGCGAGTGGGTGGGACTGTGGTCAATCCGTTGTTTCTGGAATAAAGATACAGCACATTCCTTGGCACAATGTGCACGCAGTTACGGTAGGAAAAGCGGAAGCATGGGAGAGAGTGTCTGCGGAGTTGTGCAAAACATTCCTTGAGAAAAGGGGAAGAGCAGGAGATAAACCTGTATAATTCTGTCAAATATTCCTTGAGAAAAGTGGGAGAATAGGACCACGTGGCCTCCAATTCACATTCTTCCGTGGCGCCATGACAACACAAAACACTGGATCTTCTCACTGTCCTGTGCTTGTTTGGGGCACCAAGTGTTAAGGAAATACGCATTTTACAGTTTTTTCACTCTTTCGCTTCTCCCACACTTCACAGCAATGCATGAAGAAAACCAATGCCCACAGGTGGCAGGAGCCAGGCTCTGCACTGGCAGGTGTTCAGAAATGCCGAAATTGGGATGTCTTGCTGTAATGTGAGAATTCCATCACAGGAACTGTATTTTTCCATTTACTGACAAGGCAAACACCGAACTGTGGTACGGACACGCGTGCTTTGCGAATACAAACTGTCACTTGGCACTCGCACTGACTCGGGATGTTTAGATAGAGAAAGCCCAGAAGAGCCTTTGCCGCATGAAAACAGCAATAATGATAACGATAAACCCTTCCACCCTTGTGATGCCTATGTCGCGTACCGATGCAGCCCAAACTCCCAATAGGCTTGGGCTAAAAGTAGTTCTGAGGTCATACGAAAAGCCCAGGAGACCGGGGCTAGCCTGGTACTTGGGCCGTCTGGATGTGCCTCCTCCTCTGGGGGCCCAGATCCCTCAAGGGGAACTGCGCTTATTCATGGCACAGAGTCCACTGTGCACGTCCACTGAACTGCTAGGAAAGCAGCGGCAAGACAGAAACAGGGATTACCTGGATCACTAAATCTCATCTCCTGCAGGCGCATCAGCCATGAAATGAGCACGTATTCCAGAAGGGCTCAGGGCACTTCCTCCAGCCACCACAGAGGGTGCCTTCGGCACTCAGTAGCAAATGGATGGCCTGTCATAAAGTACAAGCTGCCAGGTCTTAGTGAGCGTTCCCCAGGCAGCAGCCAAGAGGAGAACCCTCAGCAGATCTGAAACAAGGGTCAGTGTGAAATGGGATATTAGCCAAATTTGGTATCATGCTTGCACGAGACAAGACACATTGCTTGTATCGCTCTGCCTCTATTTCCTGTTCAAAACAGGGCCCCCCTTTCCTTTCCTTAAATAAGTGTGTATCAGCAAAATATCACCTCCCAACCGGCACAAACCCGCTCTGCGGTTTAGCCCGGGTCCAGGAGGCGACAGAGACTGCGCAGGAATTCAGGATGAAAAGTCCAGCAGTGAGGTAGAGGAGATACTTCCTGCCCCGACCACTGCCCAGCTCTTCACGACCCCTGCCCCGGACCAAAGGAGCTCACTGCGCAGCCGCAAGGAGGAGGAGACCTAATTATAATAAGAAGCGAGGGTAGGCGGGAATAGGTTATGAATATGTATACGCGTCTCATGAATACGCAACACACTGTAACATATAAGCAAGACTAGAACGGCAGGGGGGCGCGCACGCTTGTTGCGGGGGAGCGTTCCGCCGTGCGCCCGGCGCCGAATAAGCATACCTGCTTTACAACCCTGAGTTGCGAAGTCTTTCATCCGTAAATCAAGTGCTCGGAGAGAAAGGGGAAACAAGGGAATTCTGAAAGCCTCGGAGCCGTCACGCCCCCACAACTCGTGCACTCAGGTCACTGTTGGGCGCTGTGCTGGAAACAGCCGCCAGCGCCCCCGACATGAGCCCCCTCAGGGCACCCTGGGGCCGGCAGCCGCCGCCGCTCCGACCGGCGGGGCCCGCGCGCTCCGCAGCGCCGGCCGTACCGATCGGCCCGGCCGCCCGGGAGCCCCCTCAGGAGAAGGGGGACGTGACCGGCGCGCCCGCGGCTAATGGCCGCCTGCCCACAAGATGGCGCCCGCGGGCCGCGTCGCGGCGGTAACGGTCGCCCGAAGGCGGGTTTTGTCCCGCTTCCATCAGGGTCTAGTTCTCGTTCTCTCGACTGGTCTTCCCGGTTTCAACCCTGCGGTCTGAAATGAGGGTTACCTCTCGGTACCTGCCTCAACTGATGCCATGGCTGAGAGATCGCACTAAGAAGATGCAGCTTCCATTTGGGTACAAAAAATTCTGTTCCTGAACGTCTGTATTGGTTTTGTCCTTGGACAACACTGCAAGCATAAACTTTTCTTCCAGGACGAGGAGCGGAAAACTGTTCGAGGATGAGTCTTCCTGCATCACATTAGCGATCCCTGCCAATAGCGGACTGTATCTGCTAGGTTCCTGCATGAGAAAGGAGGTGTTCTGTGGCTTTGTACAGATGAACTCGCATGAACCTGTAATTCCTGGTTGCCTCAGCAGGGAGACGCGAAGAAATCCGAACAGCGTCGGAGTAAAGGAAGAGGGTATTGCAGGCTGGAATGCCTTTACCGGGACTCAGTGTCAGATCAGTCACGCGACATGAACTACCCTATGGCCTAAGCCACAGCACTGCAGGGACAACCGGTCCCCGCAAACCAGAAGCCAACAACCTGACTAACTGCCAGTGGTTCAAATTTGCCGTACATTTATGACATAAATTGTGCCTCACGTGTTTGATTTTGCCACCTATTTTTCATGGCCTGTGTGAGTGGAAGAACGCTGTGTCCTTCACAAAATGATGTCACCTCTGTTTTCACAGTGGTTTCTCAAGGATGGGGGGGGGGTCATGTCCGTCAAACCGTGGGCCTCGTGCTTGCCTCTGCTCTGCAACCAAGACAAAGGCACGGGGGGCGTGCAGAAGCCGTTTCCTGAGATCCTGACACTCTGTTACTGTGGGCCAATCTGGAGCGTACCGCCTCAGCATCCACACAGTTTATAAGACTAATCTTATCAAGAGCTTTATTTTAGGTGGATGAGACATTTTATACTGAAAAAGACCCCAGCGTGATGGTGACTGAGGCTGAGATGACTTGGCAAAGGTACCCGCCGTGAGCTGGAGGTTTTCTTGGGAAGGAATTAAGAGTATGGAAACAGTGACGCCCTGCAGCCCGTCATCGCTGTTCAGGTGCACGTGGGCAGTTAGGGGAGGTCGGTGCCTGCGCACAGAAGACACGGAGGCAAAGGGCAGGGTCGGGAGGTGGTCCTGTCCCACTGTGATGGGAGGGAGGTGGTGCAAGTGACAGCCCTGTGTGTGGCAAGCAGTGGGGAAAGGGCCGGTGTTCGTTGTGAAAATGTATCCCTAAGTCGTGTTTTGGGGAGCCAGGCAGTAATCTAGCCATCGCCTCTTTCCTCCCTGCCGCGGACACAGGTTCTGCTTATGCAGCTTAAGCCACAGCCGGTCCCGCGGACAGGGGAGGGCACCGGGGGCACTTTGCACCGGGAGCCTTCCCAAGACCCCGATGATGTGCATTTGTAACGGCACCTGGAGGCATTGCCAAAGCGACGGAGTTGGGCTTAAGGGCACACACACGGCTCCTTGTCCAACCTTGCTTGCTGGCACAGCCAGCACCCCCAGCGTGATAACTCTGACGAGACCCGTGTGCGTTCGTGTCCACTGCTGAGCTGCTCCGTGGCACAGAGACGCTGCAGCCGGGGCAGCCATCAGTTCCTCGGCTGGCAATGCGGAAGTGGGAGAGCTGTGGAAGAAGCTCTCACCCTCAGGTCTGGCCTTTGCTGAAACCAGTCCCCCTGCATTCCCCAAAACACAGCAAGAAGTTGTTTCTCACGCAGTTCAGGGCACTGAGGGAGAGTTGAGGCTGGGTTCAACGTTAAGAAAGTCCATCCCTGTCAGAACCAATGACCGTCCTCTGGATTCCAGGTCACCCCTCTCCTAAAGCAAAGCCTCCGGGAGAGACCCGGGCAGAAAGCTGACGAGGCATTTCCCAGGGCATAAGCACCAGTTCGCCTCAGGCACTGCTTCTCTGCGCCCTGCAGGGATGAGATCTGTCAAGAGGCACCTTTCCGCATCTGTGTCTGTTCTCACGCCTCCCGTGACAGCAGCTGGGCTCCTCTGGATGCCAGGGCACAGCCAAGGGAGGCAGGAGCCTGTTGTTATAAAGCAGAGTTCCGAGGGCTCTTTTCTGGGGGAGAAGCAATGGGGCATCTACAAAGGAGCCCGCTGCCGTGATTCCTACTGCCACGCGACACGGCAGCTGCTGAAGCCAGCAGCAGAAAGATCAGGTCTCTGCACCCTCTTGTGAACGTTCTCCACAATTACAGCGGCGCAAATCCACGGGCCGTCTGCGGCAGGGAGAGCGGCTGTGACACTCGCTCCTCCAGCACACCAGCAGGCCAGATGCCGGCGCTGAAGCGCTGGTGCTGTCAGCAGCTGTTGAACCCAAGCCACGCGAGAAACAGCGGAACTCGGGGGATTATCCAGCCCCTTCGCTGGCGGGTCACTCCTTTCCACACCGGGCTGCCTCACCGACTCCAAAGACGCCTGAACCTGAGCTCTGCACGCACAGACCCGAAGCCCAAACCCCGGCGCAGGCGCAGACACCTCCAGCAGCACAGACATCAGCCCACCTGGAGAGCTTCCTGCTTCGTCACCCGCTGTGGGGTGCAGAGGCACGTGCTGGAGGGGGCAGGGTTGCAGCTCATCGCGACCGGTTCCACTGACCGCCAGCAGAGACCGGGGGTGATGCCCAGTTGGGTCCCCGTCGGCCCTGCGGCCAAGCCACCTTCCCCCCTGCCCGCTCTGCCCTGGGCCTCCGCTGCGCTGCGGGCGGGCGGCTGCAGCAGGGTTCCCAGCGGGAGGAGGCGCCGCCGACACGGCCCTGGGGCTGCGGGGGCCCACGGCCGTGCCCCCCAGCAGGCGGGCGCCACTGTCGTGGTTTAGGCCTGATTGACAGCCAACCACAATGCAGCACCTCTCTCTCCCTTCCCCTCCGGCAATGAGAAGGGACAGAGAGCCAGGCTTGGGGTTCAAGATAGGACTGGGATGGGGGAAAATCCCCCTTTTATGATCATGAGCAAAAGGCAGACTCGTTAGGGGAAGAAAAAAAAGAACATACATTTATTACAGACACTAACAACACATAACAGAGTAGGACAGTGAGAAGCATTGCCACATCTTGAGAACACCTTCCCCCCACCCCTCCCTTCTTCCCGGGCTCAGCTCTGCTCCCGATATCTCTACCTCCTCCCCCAGTGGCGCAGGGGCAGGGAATGGGGGGGTGCAGTCAGTGCTGCCACTTCCTTCATCTTCGGTGAGGGGAGTGTCCAAAACTTGTTACCCCCTGCTCCATCGTGGTCCCCCTCTCACAGGAGACAGTCCTCCACAAACTTTCTCTGACTTGAATTCCTCCTATGGGCCGCAGCGTTCCCCACACTGCTCCGTCATGGGTCACTAACTTCCTCCGACTGGATTCTCTCCCACGGCTGCAGCCCTTCCAGAGCTGCTCCAGCGTGGGACTCCCCTGCATGCTGCAATCCTCCCAGCACTGAATTACAGCAGCGGGGCTACCTTTTTCCATGAGACCCCGGCCTTCTTCGGGCACAGAACCTTGATCAGCCAAGCAGGAACAACAGGCTGTAAATCAATGTCTGCTCCACCGTAGATCTTCACGGGTGGCGGGGGGGGGGGGCCGCCCTGCCGTCTCACCACAGGATACAGGGGGGTCTCTGCTCCGGCACTCCTCCCCCCTCCTTTCTTCCTCCGTTCCTCCACTGACCTTGGTGTTCATGCAGCTGCAGCAACTCCTCCTCACAAGTCCGACTGCCCGTCACCACGTCCCTTCTTAAATACGTTGTCGCAGAGGCGCAGCCGATTGGCTCAATTTCCCAAACAGAAGTGGAGCTGACGTGGAGCTGGGGGAGCTTCGAGAAGCTTCTCACAGGGGGCCGCCCCGATAGCCCCCTCCCCTGCCACCAAAAAACTCCACCACTCACTCAACCCAGGACAGCCACCTTCGGTGGGGCGCGGGGGGCAGGAAGAAGCACTCAGAGACGGGGTCAGGGAAAAAGGAGTTTATTTCCCCTTCCTGGGAAAGGGGACACGCGGCAGCCCTGCTCTCAGCGCCGGCGGGGCGGCCTCTTGCCGGGCTGGGGACCGTCCCGGGGGCCGGGGGCCCTCCTCTTCGGGGGGCGCCGGGGCCCCCCAGGCGAGCGGTCCCTGCCCCGGCCGGGAGCGGAGGGGCTGCGGCTGCAGCCCCGGGCAGAGGGACCTGCCGCCGCCGCCTCCCCCGGCTTCTGCCGGGGCGGGCGCGGCCGGGGGGCGGCCGGGAGCCCCGCGGAGGGCGGCCCCCGACGTGCCGCCTTCCTCCTCCCCGGCGGAGCCTGCAGGGCTGCTGGAGGCGGCCGGGCCGGGCCGGGGCCGGGGCCGGGGCCGGGGCCGGGGCCAGGGCCGGGGCCGGGGCCGGGGCCGGGGCCGGGGGTGACCCCCGGGAGGCGCTGGGGCTGGGAGTTCCCGCCCTGGAGCTGGTGCTGCTGCAAGTGGTGGAGCTGGAGCTGGAGCTGGCCGCAGGGCTGTCTTCCCCCTGCCCCGCAGCCTCGGAGCGCAGCAGCCTCTCGGCCTCCTCGCTGCACAGGCCCACAATGATATTGATGATGCCATCGACCAGCGGTGCTGTATGTTCCTCAAGGACAGGCTGCAACAGCTGGACCATGACCACACGATCTGGACCACGGAGGCACAGGGCGTGCAGGATGCGGCTCTCGGCCCTGTGTGCCAGCCGCCACCGGGACCCATATATTGCCTGCAGCTCCCGGCGCAGCCAGGGCAGCACGGGGTCCAGGAGATGCTCTTCTCTTTGGAAGAGTTCTGCCCAGACCTGGGGCAGGAGGCCACCCACAGCTTCTGTCCCTGCAGACCCCTGCTCAGCTGGAGATGTCACAGCACGATGGGGGCTGTTTTCAGCCAGGTGGCTGGGAGCTGTGGCTGCCTGGCTGCTGTCACCTGATGACTCTTCAGGGTCTGTGACGACACACTGTAGATAGTCATTTTCTGCCCGCACAGAAAACCAGATAATATTTACTGGTCCTCTGCAGAGTGGACACACTGGTTTCACCCTTGCCCACCGCAGGATGCAGCCCAGGCAGAACTGGTGTTGGCAGGGCCTGACATATGCCACATCTGTATGAGTGTCGCGGCAGATGGGGCAGCACCACTCTGTCTCCGTGGCCATGTTTGCTTCGTGCGGCGGGCTGGGGAGAGCCAAGGACGAGGAGCTGCTCCCCTCCACTGGCGTCACACGCTGCAAAAGGGAGAGAGGCCGCGGTCACTCGCTGTGCCGGGGAGGGGAAGGGAGGCAGGAGCGGCCAGGCCCCTCGCGAAGGACGCCCTCCCGGCTCCCCGAGCCCCACGGCCGCCCCACGGCCGCCCCGTGGGGACGCTTCCCCCCACAGCTCACCTCCGCTGCCGCAAGCGCGCCCGGCGGTGCCCGGCTGCCTGAACCAGGCAGGGCCGGGGAAACGCAGGGGATGGCTCCGGGACGGGCACCGAGAGCTGCCGACGGCAGCCCCCAAAGCGCCGCCCAGCACCAGGAGCAGCCTCGCTCGACCCTCCAGACCTCGCAGGCACGCTCGGCAGGAGTCCAGGCACGAGCCAGGCTGGGCCAGCGGCTGCCGGCGCCCGAATATAAGCAGCGAGGGACGCGAGGTCACAGTCCATCGCTCGCTGACGTCACAGTCCACTGCTCGGCGATGTCACGCCAGGCCTTCCGACCCCATAGGCCCATGGCATCAAGAGAGGAAGGAAAATACCCTTTCTTGGGTTTGTCTTCTACGTTGCCGTGTTCGTCCAGCTTGGTCACCGGCAGCACGTGCCCGTGACTGTCTCATCCCCACTCCTGACGCCTCGCAGGGCCAGGGCCCTCTCCGCTCACCAAGCTGGCTGGTGCTCCTGGCCGACCGCTGCGTTGGTGGTGCTCAAAAGCGCCAGTAGTGGGGCCTGATCCCATACACGCGGGAAGCAGCCGTAGGTGCCGTCCCTCCAGAGGACGGTGCAAGGGCCGCAGGCACCCTGCTCCCGAGTTCGGGGAGCCCAGGATCCATCACTGCGTGGGCCGTCAATTCCCACCCCCCACTGCTGCCTCTCTGGCTTCTATAATTAATTAATCAATCATTTAGAGTCATTAGTCCAAGCACTCGGTTTGTATTTTAGACGAGCATCGTCTGTTAGTTCGACTGCGTGAGAGTGGAGGGTGCTGTGTGTAAGTCAGCCACGTGGGTCTGCCCGTGAAAATCTCGTGAGGCGGCGGCCCCTGCTTTCTATTCACAGTACTTCTTGTCTGCATCAGTGGGAGAGGCAAACTCACGGAGGTGTCTCGGGCCAGCCTCTGCACCGATTTTTTGCCAGGTTGGTTTAGAAATCAGAGTTTTTCCTCTCCACAGCCCCACTGGATTGGGGGTGATGGGCACAAGGACGCTTTGGTTCAAGTTGTAGGGCTGCACGAGTTTTCTGCATTGCTTGCCCACTGAAATGGTGCTCTTGTTTCTATCTCGTGCTGAGGGGTGGAGTTCTCTCTGCAGTTTCTTTTTGCAGCGGTTCTCTCATCTGCATGTTTACAAGGACAGGCTTGTGTCCTGAGAACACGCCTCAAGTGACAAGGACATGCACACATTTACAGCATCCGGGCCCCCGAATAAAGTAAAGCTGCCGATTTCCCAACGGTCCCCCTGGTTCTGGGTGTGCAGCTACACTTGCCTTCTGTCCCCCATCATTTTGTTGAAAAGTTGTCCTAAGCATGTGAAGACTTACGAAGTCGAAGGGTGCTGCGCTAGCCAGCTTCAGTCGTCTGCACCTTCATTTCTGACCAAATGGAAGCTGCTTCCGGATCGTTCAAGCTACAGAACGATTTGAATTAATAAAAGTGCCTATGAATTATACACATCCCAGATTCCTGTGGACTGTGTCAAAAGCAAAAGAAATCCTAGCTGAGGTTCTTTAACTTTTCCAGAATTAGCTGTATGTTCCTATACAGCAACATGTTAATGGTGTAGTCAGTAGCTCGGTGCCTTCACTGAAGCCTTCTGCTGCTCCCCTCCCGTTCCAAAGGAATGCTGAGGCTGCTCAGGCAGCGGAAGAAGAGGCGCACGAGCAAAATCCTGGGCAGATCCACGAGAAATGCAGAGCAAACCCGTCCTGTCAGGCAGGTGCAATCATCCCCTCTGTGCTGGTGTGGGCCACTGGCTGGGCCACCCGAGCCAGGGCAAGTCTATCTGCTCTTCTCGCCGTGCTCCCGAAGGCGCTTTGCCTGCAGTTTGCAGGGAGCTGTAAATCTCTCCAGCCAGGCTCATGGCGGGGCACTGTCTGCCTCCTTGAGTTGCTGTAGTGCAGTTAGTGGGAAGCGATCAGGAGAACTACAGCTTGAAACTGGGGTGTCAGAGAAGGGGGCTTCTTAAGCAACAGGAGGGTTTCCCTACCTCTCCTTTACCATCTCCTCAGGAGTATCTCCGAGGGAGAAAGCCCTGGGCACATCACACGAGTCTGAACAACCCCACCTTCTTCAGCCCTAAAGACCTGATCTCAATCAGCGCTGGCTGAGCAGTGGCTCAGTTCCTACTCGCTATTGTTATAGGTAGATTAAGGCCAATCACATCCAAATATGGATTAATGAATCTTTATTAAGGTAAGAGAGCAAATGCAGCGCTGGGGTGGCCGAGGAGTCGCAGCTCCGTCCAGGCTCACCAAATTGTTTAAGTTTCAAACCCCCTTTTATCCACCCAGCTGCCGGTTTCAACACCTTCACCTTCGGCACACCTCCTGGCTTCTTCTACAATCTTATCTTCTTTCTTCAGTCCTGTGGTCCTGTACACCTAGTCCTTCAAGTCTGGGCCAATTTGCAGCTCCTTTGTCTTTTATGGCTCAGTGGTTTCAGTTCCCCTCTTATCTCAAGGACAAGGGATACCAGAGATGGCCCATTCTGTTATTTCTCAATCCATTG